ATATATATATATTATGCAGCAGTTCTTTAGATCTGTACCATTATTAAGCTCTCCAATAATCTTATAACATGTATTAGAAAATCTTTAGAAATTTATATATTTATCTGTAAAATTTGCGCTGTATCTCATTGAGGCGCCTGGTTTTGAAGAAATATCAAGCATGCACAATGGACCTACGTAGAAAGGGATACAAGTTTGTCTTCCATTGACGAGTACACTTGTGTAGCCAGTGTAACCAGCGATTGCTCCATGAACTACACTTTGAGCAAGAAGTGTGAAGTACACGTTATCAGAAGCATTGTTCGGAATTGCTCGGATCATGGAGGTTGGGCCTGTCGGATACAGGAAAGCAAAAGGAAGTAATTAATAATATTATACCCAATGCTCTTTTTAGCATGTAAACAGATGGAGTATGGGATATGCAGTAATTGGGATTTAATTAGATAACTAGAGTATAATCCGAATAAAGACATGTATCCATTAGAATTAGGATTTATTGCATTACTTGTCTTTTAGTATTTTGTCATCATCTTTATTGTCTTTGATTATAATTAGGATTTGATTTAGGATTTTATTATTATTTATATTTCCAGAGACCTTATAAAAAAGGCTGGGGTTTTCATTTGTATTCAGTTTTGATGATTGAATAATAATTGATATTTCTTGGCCTCCTCTCCTCTAGTTTTTCCTTCTCCTCTCTTCCCTCTTCCTTCTCTCCTCCTCTTTCTCTCCTTCCCTATCCTCTTCCTCCTCTCTTCTCTCTTCTTTCTTTCTCTATTCTCCCTCACCTCCCCGTCCTGCAGCACAACGCCATGATCTTTTTCTTTAAAAAGAAAATCTGCACAAACCTATATATTTGAGGTTCATTCTCATTGTACTGTGCTTGGCAAAATGATCCTGCAAGATGAAAGCAGATAGAAAGTAACTTCTGTAAATATTCTTCTGCTGCAACAGCTTGGTGAGGATCAAACTGAAGAGCACAGGAAATATGGCAAAAATTGAAAAATCTATAATCCACACCTAATCCTTTGGGATATCCGTAGCCCAACATCTTGAAGAAGAAGCTTGTTTCCTGAAGGATCCTGCTTTTGCACGGATTGGGTGCTCTGAGATACACGATCCTGTCCTGCCCCTTCAGCTACTAAAATTACCATTTGCCCCTCCAGCCCACCTGGACCTTCCAGGTAATGAAATTAAGGGAAGATATCATGCTTTAAGGCAATGAAAGTTGGGGGAAATGGACATGACACTGAATTTATAGAAAGTTCTAAGCTCATGCTACTTTAAACTACATGATATTATTTAGAAAATTATCTATTATACAGATGCAAGGGTGAATATGTACCTTATACTAATAACTTGATTCTTCCCTCATTTTCCTCCTCATTTATCTCTTCGAAAAAACAGGAGGTAAGTTGTTTTTTTCCCCTCTTCTCTTTGTTTCCAAGCAAACATGAAGTAATTGCTTTGTCAGAAATTGGACAAGCAGGAGGCACAATTTTCAGATTAAAGTATTTTAACTGAAAGCACGCCATGTATCAATTTTTTTCCCCTCTTTAGATGAACATATTGCTTTTATTTTTTCCCTGGTTAGAATGAAAACATTTCCGAATAAATGCTAGATCATTCGGGCTGGACAGAAAATTCAAGCCACATGCTAATTCCCTGATCACAGTGTTTGAGCCAGGGCAAATTCCCCCATATGTAACGATGGCAGCCTTCAAATCATCTGATTGAAAATACACCTTAACATCGAATTTAAAGAAAACACAATGAGAAAGATATCTAATACATCAATTATTGCCCACCTCATGAGCTTCTAAAATCTCAGGGGATCTGATAAAACACTTTGCCGTGATTGCTCACCTCATGTGCTTCCACATCGTGAAATATTTGTTCATGTTCGAGGTATCAATTATTACTTTGCTTTCACCACACCTGGAAAGAAAAGGAAAGGGTAAATTACTTTTCAGAGTGGTTCTGCACATCTGGAATTGTTGTTCTGCCTTTGGTTAGTGGCGCTTGTGCGTATTACTCATCAATTTTCTTGGATGATAAATAATTACAGTCCATGCACCACTCTTTGTTTGATTTTTTTTTTTTGTTACTTTTTTCAAAGGTGGTGTGATAGAGAGTCATTTTGGAACTCGGTGCAATGTTGCGGTTCAGTCTTATCATAATATTCCTTTAATCTTTCTTAGAGATGGCAGAAACCTGGTGCATAACTTGACTAGTAACAATAAGCAGGTGATACTTAGAAGAAGTCTTGGTGGGATTCTAAATGCCAAGAGCTTAAAGGCGCTCAAAGAGAAAATAACTACATGTTATCCCTTCAGTTTTATATTCTATAATACAAAGCCTATTGGCCATCAGGTAGTAAATGCTTTCTACCATCCACTTTACTTGCTGGATCTCAGATATTCTGTTGATGATGCTTACCTGATTCTCTCCTCCTGTCAGGTCTAGCTGGTCTGGTTATCTTCATACTACTACTTGGAGATTTTATTTTAGTATTGCTCACTTTGTTTCAGATGTACTCTGTATTCCTGATGAACTTCCTGTTAGTTTTGTTTGTCCTTCCGCTTGGTGTCCTGTTTCCATTTCCATCTGGAATCAACGCTTTGTTTAGTCAAGGACCTAGGAGATCTGCAGCTCTTGCTCGTCTTTATGCCCTGTGGAATCTGATATCCTTAGTGATTTTTGCTCAACCTCTCATCTTTCATCCTTCTGTTTTGGAAAGCAGTATGGTTACCAGTAAGGTGCTTACTATTTAACCTTTACATCTAACTGCAGGTAGTTGCCTTCTTTTGTGGATTGATTCATTATACAGCAAACTCAAATAAAATGCATTCCGACTTTAAATCTTGGAATTTTAGCATGCAAGTGTCTTTCAACATCTGATATAGTAGATTACGTAAAAATGAATTGATTATGAGGTTGAAGATTTTGTGATGTTGTGATTACTTGCACTTTGCTGGGGAAATGCAGGGATGAAAGTGAATGGTGGACTCTTCCTTCTAGTCTTCCACTATGTAAAATCATCCAATCCCGTCTTGTCAATCCCCATGCAGCTAACCACGAAATTCATGATTCTTCTGTGTACAGCGATGATCCTAAGTCTTCTGGCAGTCATGAATGTATGTTTTTTGTTCTTAGTTCATTCTTTTCCCTCTCCTTTTGATTATTGAAAGAGCAGCAAGGAAATGAGGGGCGCCACGTGGTGTGCCGTGAGTATTTATTTCTTTGCACATATGTGATGAGGGCTTGTTGGATTAGCTAGTATTGTGATATCAAGTGTAGTGTACAGGTTAGAAAGTGGTGTGAAACGATGGATTGTGTTTAGTGTGTGTCAGGTCATAATCAAGTGAAGCGTTCAGTAGAAATGTTTATAGGTTGAGTCCGAGCAGACATTCGTTTTTTGGAGTTGGGGAGGGAAGTATCTCATTTTTCTTAACACTCCTCTAGTCTTATTTAGAGGGCAAAGAGAGAAAATATTTTTTTGTCCTATTTATAGGGCACTGAGAGAAATTTTGTGTGTGGATATATAATTTTACCCCTCATTTATTATTGTGTTGACTTTGTTTATATGAGATTTAATGTATTAAATAAGGATTAAATTAGAAAGTTATTAAATTTTAAATGAGAGTTAGTAAAGTTTAAGGTTTTTTTTTGTCTGTGTAAAAGATACTGGAAGTACCTTATAAATAGAATCAGAGAAGTATTTGATATGGTTGTCTCCAACATGCAAAACTTCAAGAGAAAAGAGCATCACTTTTTAATGAAACTTTTTGATTATATTCCTCAAGCTCAAGTTCTAAACGTAGAAATCAAATAACATATAATTTATTTACAGATATTAATAAAATTAATAAAGTTAAAACCTGGAAGAAATGTGTATTGGTTTTTTAAAATATACTTTTAATTATTTATATCAAAAACCATTATATGACCGAAACTCTCTTAATAATTTTAATAGAGATAATTTAGAGAATAAATTATAAATTTAATAAATAAATAAATAAATTGAGCTTTACATTTAGGATCAAATCAAACTCCTTTAGTAACTAACTATATTTAAGATCGAAGGATGATACATAGTGTGCACTGCAAGTTTAAATCTAAATAGAAAATGAAAAGTTAAACAAAACAACCCATAATACCAATTTCGTTCTGCAACACCAATATAGCAAAGCAGGCTTTTAAAAAGATTTTCGTTGCATGATATTTGTAAAATACTTCCATACATATTTTTGTTTCTATGGGAAAGTTCGATTAAATTATTCAACTGTCAAATTTCCTAATAAAATGTAATAAATAGCTAATAAAGTATTGTAAGTAGCTGGAATGTTTAAAGCCTAATAGTTATTTTATATTATCTTAATAAAATGATTTGGTAGCTCAATGATCATACTACCTCCAATCTTTAATATAAGAGTTAGATAATTAATTTATAAATATTTAAAAAAGTTAGTTAAGTTAGTTATTTATAATAAATAAATATTGTCTTTCCTAAAAATTATTATTATTCATGTATAGTAGAAATACCTTTCGAAAAAAACTTTTCAATATTTGTAATCACTACAGGGATTACTTATAGGGTAAATTGGTCAAATGGATAAATATTGTCAACCAAGTAGATTAATATCTATATTTAGGATCAAATTAAATATTTAACTAGAAAGTACTTCTCTCAGTTCTAAATATGAAAGTTATTTTATATGGATTTTATATTTAGGAGAGGAGGAGTATTTTTTTTTTTTTTGACATCCAAGAGGCTGGGATCAAGGCTTTCTCTTCGCAAACGAGGGGTAATATTGTAGTACAATATTTCATCATCGCCTTTTGGCCCACGGTAATTGGAATCGCCTTTCTGAGCCATGCAAATGTTATCGGTAATCCAATCAACGTATAAGTCCAACGTTGGAAACTTTTCTGAACATTTTGCCGCTTTACTTGCAAGTTACAAATCAACACTTGCCTGTGAGTCAACATGGAAGACTTTCAGATGCAGATATTTTTGCCGAGGTAAGCTGGAGCGGAGAGGACGAGACACCGAACAGAGCTGCGAGAACGTCTGTAAGAGTGAAGATTTCTACAACTCTCATCCAAGGCAGACCATGTATTTTGACTTTTTCTAGCATTTTCCTTCTCCATCGCTCTCCGCCTCGGATCTGGTAATTAATTCCTGCCTCTTCTTTCATATTCTTGTCCTTTTCACCCTACTACGAGTTTGATCGGAGTTGCGCTTCGCAACTACTGTTTTGTTTCCATCTTTCAATCAACTGAGTTCACCCAGGAATTGGATCCAAATACTCGTGTATAAACCGAGATCTTGATCCGTTCTTGTGCCATTTGGATTAATTCTAGTACGGCGCAGCTCCAAAATTGTCGGGGATCTCATTTGAGTTGAATCTTTTAAGAAAAAGGAATTAAGTGTTGCTTCTGTCTCCCCCACTAAGCCAAGTATACAGCGTCACCTACTTAGAACCTAATCATACTATGTAAGTCTCTGTCTCAGGCTTTCTTGTTCGATGATTGTTTAGGGGGTCAGGATTCTGTGGATATTTGTGAATAAAGAAAAACTATGAGCGGTTCACTTTGCCAAGACTCTCGAGTCTTTGGGTGTTATGCAAATTTTGGTCTGTGTGGGGTTTCTGAATCAGAACCGTCAGTTTATGCTTGTCATTTGAAAGTTGTTTGTTATGTCTAACGTGCATAGGAAATCTCATGTTAATAAATTGACAGTTTATTACTGTTCACCCCTTTTTGTTTAGCTCTTCCATTAATATTTGTCCATATATCCATTACAATTATTTCTTTTTATATTATAGTTTACTAGAAAATAAACTGCATGTTTGTCTTCAGTATCTGGACTGAAGGGATCTGACGAAGCTAGCTGGGCGCATAAACAAAAGTCAATGTCTTAATTATCCTTCCCTTTTTTTTTTTTGGGTTCCAGTATTTTCATTTTTTTTAATTTTCTGGATTTCAAAAGCGGATGAAAGCGAAGTTGCTTTTTTATTTTTAATTAGACCGAGGCTTTTTTCCTATTTAAATACTACATGCAGTATTATACGAGGAACAAAATAAATTCCAAATGCATACAAATCATATTAAGGAAAGCCACAGTTCTCGTCGTCGATCTTTTCATTTCCTGATTGAGACGGAGACAAACAAGCAACTTTCATCTTCTTCTGGGTAGTTCCCTTTTCTTTTAGGATACAATACTAGCTGCTTAGTTATTGGCAACATCTATTATTTTCATGATAAAATCAATTCAGACCCTTGTTATTTCCCTCTTTTAAAGGGTGTCTTTGTCTATATTATCCTCATACTTGATAATTTTTCATTCTAAATTTACTCTGACAAAATTGATTTCGATCTTCCAGTGCAAGCAATAATAATTATGACACGCCGACCAAAAATATCTTCGATACACTATGAATGGACTTACGATGTCTTCCTCAATTTTAGAGGTGAAGATACTCGTCATAGTTTCATAGGAACTCTAAATAAAGAGCTCAATCGAAAGGGAGTTCACACCTTCTTTGATGACAAAGAAATAGGAATAGGGGATGAAATTACACCAACGCTTCTCAAAGCAATCCGGGAATCTAGGATGGCCATTACTGTATTTTCCAAGGAGTATGCTTCCTCAACATTTTGCCTAAACGAACTAGTCCAAATCCATCAATGTATCAAGAAAAACGGTCGACTGGTTTGGCCAATCTTTTATGATGTGGAGCCTTCTGAAGTACGACATCAAAGAGGAAAATATGGACAAGCACTAGCTACACATCGACAAAACTCAAGGGCTGATGAAGAAAAAATGAAAAGTTGGAAGCATGCACTACATGAAATAGCTGATCTTAAAGGTTCATCATGTGATCCAAGGTGATTTACAACTTCTAATTTTTTTTTTTACTTCTAATTATATGTTTTACCTAGCTAGTTTGTATGGTTAGAATTGAAGAAGATTATTACAATTATTATGCATGTATATGAAAAATGAATTGGATGGATTTAATCAGAATTGAGCGAAATTTCTGTTTGCTTTTCCAGGAAAGATTACGAACATGTACTCATTGAAGATACTGTGGATCACCTCTTTAGGATAATTAGAAGGGCCCCCCTTGATGTTGCGGAATATCCAGTTGGTTTAAATTCTCGCTTGCAAAAAATAAACTCTCTATTGCAACTGGGGTCAAATGATGAGGTTATCATGATGGGAATTTATGGAACTGGGGGAATGGGTAAAACAACAATAACACGTGCAGTGTATAATACAATTGCTGATAATTTTGATTATTTGTGCTTTCTTGATGATATCAAAGGAGGATCTGGAAAACATGGCCTAGAACAAGAGCAAGCCAGGATGCTTTCAAAACTCTTAGGAGAGAAGATAGAAATTGAAGAGATTAGTCAAGGAGTTAAGCTCATAAAGCGAATGCTCAAAGATAAGAAAGTTCTTTTGATTCTTGATAATGTAGATGAACGAATGCAGTTACGAAAGTTAGCTGGGGCATGTGAATGGTTTGGTTGGGGGAGCAGGATCATTATAACAACACGAGATTTACATTTACTCAAGAGTCATGGGGTTGAAAGAATATATGAAATGGAGGGATTAAATCATGAAGAGTCTCTTGAATTGTTAAGTTGGAATGCCTTTGGGAAGATGCAAGTTGATGCTCCAAGGTACACAGAAGTTGTGAATGAGGTGATAAGTTATTCCAGTGGTCTTCCCTTGGCCCTTGAAATATTAAGCCGTGATTTGTATGGTAAGAATGTAAATGAGTGGAAATCTATGTTGGATGGATGTAAAAGAATCCCTCATGGTAAGATTCAACAAATATTAGAAGTAAGCTATGAAGGCTTACAACAACTTGAAAAAGAAGTTTTTCTTGATATTGCTTGCTTCGACAAAGGTAGTGAATTGGAATATGTCAAAAAGATGGTAGCAATTGCTCATGATTTTGACCCAGATTATCATATTGGAGTGTTGGTAGACAAATGTCTCATAAAGATTTATGGGGGCTGTCTTATTCAAATGCACGATCTGGTACAAGATATGGGGAGAGACATCGTTCGTCTACAATCACCAAAAGATCCAGGAAAACGCAGTAGGCTATGGTCAAATAAAGATATCTTGCGTGTTTTGGAGAGAAATGAGGTAATTCTGACACTAATTGAAATTATCTACTTCTTTTCTTATTACAATTAATGAGATTTTTATTTATTTATTTTTTAATGCAGAAAGATAATACTTAGAATTCAAAAGAAGACCAGGCCGTATGCATGGAATTTCAATAAGATTAACCCAAAGCTTGACTTGATCGATTTCTAAAGTTATTTTGTTGTGCTTATTATGTCGTGGTTTTAATTTTGAATAAGGATTTATCAATGTTTTTACAGTATTTAATATTCTCAATATTTGTGTTTTATGGATAAGAAATTACAGGGATTTGTGTTATATATTTACATGCTATCAACTATGCGATGAAACCTACCCTTACCGAAATTACCATGAAAAATTATTCCAAAAATATTCTTTTAAAATATGACAATTGGTCTAAATAAGAGAAACCAGAAAAATAAATAAAAATTAAAATGACATACAGCTAATAATTATGCATGAGTTTTTGTTATAGAATTCGTTTTCTGGTTATGTAATATTGCATCATTTTTCATTATGACTACTTTTCTATGATGATAGAAAATTTTCACTTTTATTTATAGCTTATAAGGGTGAAAATGAATCGAAGTGAGGATCATAATATAAGACAGTCTATTAGAATCTATAGAGTAAAAATTATATATTTATGATATTTTTGTCCAGTCAAATTGAAAACAATTATTTTATTAATTTTGTAATCAAAACTATCAATGTATTTAAAATTTTCAAAACTACTTGTTTTAATTTAGTTGGATAAACTAAATAAGGTGAACTACTTTAGTTTTTTCCTAAAATAAATTGTGACAGAGAAGCTTAACTTTGGTAATTTAAATTTTTGAGAAAGCCCCCAAATATCTTTTAACAATTTTAAGGTGTGAAATGATTTGGATATCCTCTATCTTCTCGTTCGTAGTATTTATTCATAGCTGCTTGTTAGTGGCGCAATAGGGTGGTTGCCCCTTACATCAATTTTAAAGTACTGAATGTGTGTGTGTGTGTGTGTGCGCGCGCGCGAAAAGAATATTATTATTGCATGGCCTAATCGTCAATTTGCATTGTTTGCTATCTGGTTCGTCGTTTTGATTTGGATTTGGATTTTTTTTTTCCATCATTTAACTATAGCATGGAAACCTTTAACATTTCTGGAGCTTCGAATATGTGATGTTTTTTCTTTGTACTATTATACATATATGAAACTGCTAATGTTTTTTTATTTTTTTTATTTTGGGATTAAAAGGGCACAGATGAAGTTATTATCATAATTCAACTTGAAAGGTCCAAATGCATAGAAGTAGAATGGAATGGAAGAGCCTTCAAGAGTATGAACAATCTCAAAATTCTTATTCTTGACAATACAAAATTTTCACAAGGTCCCAAATATCTCCCCAATAGTTTAGCAGTATTGAGATGGCCAGGATACCCTTCATCAAGTTTGCCACGTGGTTTTCGTGCAAAGGATCTTGTTGAATTCAATGTGAGAGATAGTTGTTTCATTTCAACGGAAATCAGTAAGGCAAGTGAAGCACCCCTAATATTATGTGTATTTATTTGGTTGGCTAGCTTGTATTTCATCATTTGTTTAATTAGACTTTATATATGGTTTTGGTTATCGCAGATAACGCAGAATATGAAAATGAGTGTTTTGAACTTTGAAGGGTGTGAGTATATCATTCACATACCTGATTTATCAGGCCTCTCAAGTTTAAAGGAGTTACAGCTTTGTAATTGCAAAAATTTGATTGCAATTGATAATTCGGTTGGGCAATTAGCAAAACTTGAAACTTTGAATGTACGTAACTGTGCCCAGCTTATGACTTTTCCAAGTGAATTAAATACACCCTCTCTTTATGATCTGGATCTGGAGATGTGCTCAAGTTTGAACTACTTTCCAGAAATAGCAACTCGTGAAATGAAAATGATAGACTTGGAATTGGTTGGAACTGGTATAAATCAATTGCCTCCATCAGTTGAAAATCTTACTCAACTTATACGTATAACACAGGTTGGAAATGACACTGTGGGCAAGGGAATTAGGTCAATGAAGCTACCAAGTAGCACTTTTTTGTTGCCAAAACTTAAGAACATAGATGTTGAAGGATGCGAAGAGTTGCTTATGGAAGTGGAGTCAATGATATGTCCAAACATAGAGAATCTTCAACTACAAAGATGTAATATATCCAATGAGGGCCTTCATATTTATCTTACTTCATTCCCCAATCTTAGGTCTTTGGACTTGAGGGGCAGTGATTTTACAATTTTGCCCGCATGCATAGAACATTGTCAAAATTTGGGAAGAATTAAGCTAGATGGATGCAAGCATCTAATAGAAGTGGAAAAGGTTCCGCCTGGCATACGATATTTGACGGCAGAAGATTGTGTATCAATGAGTTCAGAGTCCAAAAATTTATTATTGAGTAAGGTTAATTTCTGTCTCCACTTTTCTGATATTCACACCCAAAAAGTTCTACATATATATATATATATATATATTTATATGACTTCATTTCCTTTGACTTGCAGGAGTTACTTGCATTTGTAGTGCCCATCAACATTAAATTTGGAGGTTTGCATGCCTACCCTTCTATAGACCATTTTTGTGTGCCATGCGGAAGCATCCGAGAATGGTTCGATCACTGTAACAAAGGAAGGTCCATTTCTTTCTGGTTTCGTGACCAACACCCCCCATGTCTCTGTGTTTGTGCTATTGCTCAACAAACAGAGGATCATGGATGGATCCCACCAAAAGTGTTCATAAATGATCTAATGGCGTATGAATTTCACCTGGAGCTATCGACTAGGGGATATGATGTGGCTCATATAATTATGCTTTATATATGGAATTTCCAAATGGATATGGGAATTAAAGAAAATCAATGGAATCATGTAATGATTTGTCCACTTTCAGAGCTTGGAGATGCTGTAAAAGAGAGCGAAATTTATGTACTCAGAGATGAATGGACTAATATGGAAAATATTCGATTCACTGATCCTTTCCAAAGTTTGGATTTTTTGAGGAGTGACCGAGGTAAAGTGTGATCACCATTCTTTTTTAATTGATGCAATATAATCAGATGCATGGAAATTCTGAAAATTTCAATAGAATCATTACGCACACATGTATGAATATATATGAATGAACGAATATTCTTTGTGCGCGTGTTAATTCCTTTAACATTTCTCTTTTTTAATAATAATAATAATAGTAAATATCTTTTCTCTTTTCACTTGTAGATGACATAGCAAGTTCATGATTTTTGGATTTGTTTAACATCATCAAGCTAAGCCACATAGCATTTCACTTGTAGCAAATGAACTATGTTTCAATTTATTACTACTGTGCTGTTATGTTCAAATTTCAATTGCGATTTAGATGCCAAAAAAAAAAGGGCAAAGAAACCGTCTGATAAAGGAGCATGAAAACAATGTAAACTCAAACACATTCTCCCAATGCTAATCATCTTCATGACTGTATCATCCATGCATGCGTATATGTGTGAGTAGCATCAATAGTGTATAAGATTTTAGGGATTGTTATTATTACTATAACATAGGCATGAGGTATATGAAACAAAATTAACAATATAAAGCTTGCAAAGTGCTCTACTACTTACTAAGGTACTTTGCATTAACTAATGGCTACTTTAATATTATATTGCAGGATGTGCTCTAGAAGGTGACACTGCTACAAATAACCCTTTCTTCCCTTCCCAAAGTGAGCAGCAGCATACGCACTCACATACTGTTAGGGACATTGACTGGTTAAGAATACTATCTGTAAAGTGTAGGAGAATTATATTTCCCATCACATTTCATATGGATAGTGGGATGGTGGGTTCTCAATTAGAATATGATTTCTATATTACTGAGCAAGATGTCATGAAATTCCTAAGCATGCAAGAGCTGTGCATAACCATTATCCAACTCTTTGTGAGGTATGTAACTTTGTTCTCATTTCTAGACCTAACACATGCATGTATTTAGCTCTCAGACAACTCACATATTGGCATCCAATTTGATAGGTTTTGCTACAAACTTTGCTCCTTTAGAGGAATTGTTGATAGATTTGGATTTTTGTGTCCAAATGCTATTCAAGATGTAGGGCATACACGAGAAGATAAGATATCTTACATAGGAAGTACTATCAAGGAAGGCAATAAGCAATGTTGGCTTACACCAATTCGTGAAGGGTAAGAAGTTTTCACCATTAATATGTAAATAATCAATTACAACAAACTTTCACGCAAACAATATGATATTCTGATCATTAACTTATATATTATAGGAACCATTGGACATTATGTGCTGTTTGCCCAGGCTCGAATATCATTCATTGGTTTGATTCACTCGGAGGCAAACAAAGTGATGATATTGAGAAAGTATTCACCGAGTAAGTGTCTGTTTTTGTAAAACTTTGGTTTGCAACATTATAAATCAATGATCTAATTTATGTAATATTTAATAATAGGGCCCTTGTGACGTACCAAATCATTGGAGGAAAGAACATAAAATGGCTATACCCAAATGTAAGTAGCTAGTTTGAACCTTAATGCAGGTAGTTTAAATGGTTATTTCATTCCTATGTTTTTTAAATTCCAGCTACTCTTATTTTTTGATTTGTAGTATCGTCGTCAACTTGAAGATAAAGAAGGTGGATATTACATCATGAGATATATGTATGAGATCATTGATCTTAACGAAGTTGACTCATTAGACATGGTGATTATATATTCCCCATAACCTAGTCCTCATATGGTAACTGATGTTTATGAGCCACTAATGTTATGATGTGTTTCAAACGTGCAGCATTTCAATAATCCACAATGTTACTCCCAAGAAGACATTACCTTCATTCATGACAGGTGATCAGCCTATTGTTTGATGTCTAGGTCGGGGTGGAGCGGGCCAAGAGAGCAGAGAATTTTTAAGAAGCTATTATTTGGACGTACTTGATTAGAAGAAATTAATTAGTAAATAACGCATACAAGAGTGGGTGACATTTGCATTTTAAAACAAGATTATGTGTGAGAGTTGGTTTTAAATGATAGTTTATACATCTCTCGCCATCATTGATGTTGTAATAGCGTGAGATATGGTTTGGGCTCAAAGACATTTCATATGATCTTTTTTTTTTTTTTGTGTGGAAATGTTCGTTTTGAAGTTAATATTCTGTTGTAGTTGCCTAAGACATGGTCTTAGGTTTTGGGGAAATCATTTAGTTTGCACGAGGACAAATCCCCCATTGTATTTCCTAATCTCTAATATCTCCGTGTTTGTATATGCATAGGAAGAAATGTTGTCTATTTCGTTACTCTTCTCATTTTGGGTTCTATCTTTATATTTTGAAGAAAATTTATATACTTAGCTTTATATACTTAACGTGCCATTGTCAATTAAATATAAGACATGAGAATTTTGCATATATCATTTATTCTAAAACAATCTAATATTATTAGAATCATTAATGTTTTAATGTAAAAGTCGTTTTCTTTTAAATTTATTGTTTTGGTTTTTCATATCATCAGGTTTACTGTCTTTTGTGTCCAAACATTTTGCCTTCTTTTTATAGATATATTTGTCGTATCTGTTACTTTTTTTTATTCAATCCTGGTATTATATTCATTTTTTTTCCTTTATTGTCATCTTGTGTTGTTAATAGTATTTTCTATAAAGGAAAATACAAATTTTTTTTCATTTACTTAGAATTAAAATATTCTTACTGTTTTAATTATTTTAATGTGTTCAAACCATAATTTAGATATTTCGATTAATTAATATTGATATTTTTGCTTAAGTCGGGTGATATGTAATATTACCTTGGATTCTAAATAAAAAATTCATTTATTGTGTAATCTACTTTAATTTGTACTATAAAGTAAATCTTATATTTTAGAGGTATGTTAAATAATATGTTTTGCATGGGAGAATTAGTTTCCAGTTTTACACAAGTGACTTAATTACTATAAATTTCCATGAGTTGTCAATATTGATTTACCGTTTTTTCTAAAAAAATTGAATTTTAACCCTAGTCCTTTTCAAATTATCAATACATAATAACATATATAAATAGATATCAGCATGTTTTTAGTAAATTAATAGATATATGGTTTCACTTGTAGGTTTTTTAAATTTTTGAAAAATTATACTAGAAGTCTTGCATATAAGAGCTCATTGAAGATTTAATTTAATTTTAAATATAAAATCACAATTCATTTTGTTTCCCATATTTATTTTTTCTCAAAGTAGTTCTTACGATGATTACACATCTTAAAAGATTTTCATTCTATTTTCTAATACATATTATCAATAAAGATATTTTAGGAAAAATAACACTAATTTATAACAAATAACTAATTTAACTAATTTTTTAATAATCAAAAATTAATTATCTATCTCTTATATTAATTAGGATCGGCATACTATATAACTAGGTATAAATTATTACTATTGGTAGCCCTCATGTTATAAACTTATTAAGTATTTTAAGAAAGACAATACTAATTTATAATAAATAATTAACTTATCTAATCTTTTTAATAATTATAAATTAGTTATCTAACTCTTATATTAATTAGGATTAACATACTATATGACTAGGTATAATTTATTACTATTAATAGACCTCATATTATAAAATTATTTATGATGCCTGTTAAAATAAAGGGAAATTTTTAGGTACTCCCACGGTATCACGTGATTTAAACTCGGGCAAATCAAAATTTTTCATTTCAGCGTCATCCTATATGGCAGGCATGCATTCTCTCTCAAACTGAGAAATTCTTAGGTGCACCCAGAGCACCACAACATCTATGTACTGCCCAGTAAAATCACAACATATCAGGTGTTCTTATCCTACATTTCAACTTAATTGGCAGCATTTTGAATCCTGATTTTTCTCTCCAACTTTCCAAATTTACCGCCTCTCTCCTACTTTTTTTTTTTTTAATCAACAGTCACATCATCCTTCTCTCTCTTCCTATCTCTTCTTCCCTTCCTCACAACTCACAAGTCCCGCCCGGATTTTTTATGCTTCCTATTAAAAATATCTAAATTAAATGCTTTTATGTTGTTTTTCTCACCGCTCACATACAATTTATTTAAAATGGATAAAGGTGCATTGTATATTCTAAAATATTTTTGTGAGTGTATCCTATATTTTAAAATATTTGGTAACGTATCTAGTATTTTAAAATATTTTTTTAAGTGTGTTTAACACCCTAAAATATTTTCATGTATGTCTAGAACCCAAAAATATTTTTTAATGTATTCAGCATCAAAGCAAGAAAAATATTTCAAGGTACTAAACACCCCTAAAAAATATTTCGGGGTACTAGATATATCACAAAATATTTCAGATGCCACGTGAGAAAATATTTCAAGATACTGGATGCACATTATCCTATTTTAAATTTATAAATAACTTATGATATTATCTCTTTTTTAATATAGTCGTTTAATTTGGAAAAAGATTAATACTATTTTAGTTTTTAAAATTTCACTTCATTTTAATTTTAGTATTTGAAGTGGTCTGGTTTTATGGACTAAAAACACTATTTTGAAGATCAGAAATAGTTAAACTATTAGATTAAATTAAATTTTAAAAATAAAATTTAAAATGATGTCAAATTTTAAGTTATTAATCATTATTATTTAAATTTAATATTACTTTTCATTCAAATTAAAATTAAAAGTAAATAAAAACATAAACATTTATAAATTAAAATAATATAAATTTGAAAATCCATTTGCTAGAAAAATCTACTCCTAAAGGGTGAAAATATCGAAATGAAAAAAAAAAAAACGAAAATATGCAGATGCATGTGTACGAGGGGGTTGAGATTGGGAAGGAGGAAAAGGAAGAAGGAGACGGCGCGACCAATTGAGATTTGAGAGGTGTGTGGGACTTGTGAGTTGTGAGGAAGGAAGAGAGAGAATGATGATGTGGCTGTTGACCATTAAAAAAAAAAAAGTAGGAAAGAGACAGTAAATTTGTAAAGTTGGAGAGAGAAGATGGGGATTCAAAATGCTGCCAGCTAAGTTGACATGTAGGATAGGCACGTTTGATATATTGTGATATTATTGAGCAGTACATTGATGATATGGTGCTCTGTGGGTGTACCTAAGAATTTCTCCAAACTTAGAGCACGTTTGGCGGATGAAAAAGGCAAGGCAGAAGCGATTCTCAAAACAGTCCCCAAAAAAAAAAAAAGCGAATTCGGAAAAGCCTATTCTTTGCCGATGGAAACTTGTCCTCAACATATTCTCCTGCCTATCCATTGACGACTAATGGCAGGGCGCCATGTTCATCTCCAAGTTCTGACTTTACGCTTTCAAGGACCCCTTCTTGTACTTGTCTTCAACCTCGAGACCCACCTCGATTTCCCTTGGCCCACTGGTGGACCTAAGTTTGAGAAGAAGATCAATTCCATGCCTCTATCAGTTACCGGCTAGAGTGCTGCCTCCCTTAAAGAGATTCGCCTTAGACATTGCTCTGATTGGTCGCTCGCTCTTGTCGTTAAAAGGTAAAATCCTGATAGCAAATTTCAACATTTATCTGTTTCATATGAGTTGCAAAAGTTGACATTGGAGAAGCAAAATGGGTTCAATGGTAACATCTAAATTCCTTGTGCTCTGCCTACTTGAATTTGGTTTATAACATTCCTTCTTTGGATTGTTCTGAGCGAGATCCCAATTTTTAAATGTTGAAATAATGAGTGTGCCCTGGTTCTTCTTATAAATTGCCACTGAAAGGTGAGTTTAAAGAAACATTTTTTATTATGTAAGAAGAGAACCTCATGAATTGGGTTGATCCTTCTCAACACGAGAGAGTTGTTCCTAATGAATATCTAAATTCTTGTCCACAAGATGAGCCCTCCTATTTTGCTGGCACGTGAAATGCCTCATAATAATTTTTGTAGCAACTCTCTTCCTTTTGGGATTGAAGTTCAGCGCCTGCGTCTATAGTCTTTTAAGCTTGTCATCAAAATAGTGACCCTTGTTCATGGACAATTTTTTCTTGTTCACTTCTGAAATGCTAAAGTGGGCTTATCTAATGCATTGCTTCTTGTGTTCTCCTATTTTATCAAAGTACTCCTATGTGGAGCTTCCTTTTCATTTGAGATTGAGAACATGGTTATATCACAATTGTGTTTCCTTCGTTGCTATCATATTGTCCTTTTGCCTCTTTTACTTTCTTTTTGTGTTTTTGACTAAAGTGTTCCTTTGCGGAGTTGCTACTTGTTACAATACCCTGTTCATTTTGCTTATGAGGACGACAACATTCATGCTGTGTTAGCTGATATACAGGAAAATGATGCCACTGGCCAACCCGCTATTGCAGCTAATGGTTGGTGAGTATAAATATGTGAATATAGCTTCACTGTTTGAATAAATTGCTGATAGTATTATTGCCCCTGTATCTTGCTCCTCTCAATACTATCTGTTACTTTGTTGGATAATGTTTCAATTTATTGATTTTGTATTTGCCTTTTTCTTTGTGCCTTCTGTTTCAATTCTACTGTTCTCATTTATTTCAAGTTTTGTTTCAGCTCCAAAGCCAAAGAAAGTCGCATGTCTCACAATTACAAATGAATTGGTTCTGTGTGTTGTGAATTGTGATTTGTAGGAAGAGAATGAGCTAGAGAAATGTAGCATGAGAATGAAGAGAGCGCAATGGAATGAAGCATTTGAAGGAAGAGAATGAAGCATCATATAATATAAATTGATTGATTTTCCTTTTTATGCATTCTAGGAGGAAGTGAATGGATGCTAACTCATGGTGATGCCATTCTGCAAAAGTGATTAGATGGTTATCAATAGAAATATATTTTACAATCACTGTCTATATAGTTCATATCATCATTGTCTTCGTTGGACGAGGGGAGGCACGCAAGAGAGAAAGAACGAAGGACCAGAGTCGACGGCGTGAGGAAGAACCAGAGGAGCTTGACAGAAATCACACCTCCACCCCTTCACTCCCATCAATCCAAATCATCATCCTCCATCTCCATTCAAATCCATCATCACCATCGACTTCATCATCTTCTTCTTCTTCTCGGTGTGACAGAACCGGAGGAAACCAGGGACCAGGAGGCATTGTGACAGAAGTAGAGCAGTTGAACGGTGAAATTACACCTCCACATCTCAATCTCCACCGATTCCTCATCTCCCATAGTCCTCCCTCACTCAACTTCGGCCCAACCCTTCCATCCCATTAATCCAAACCTTCAATCCATTTGTTTCGAGATGTCTTCCTACTGTTCGACATTCTCTCCAGCGTTTTCTGTCATTTCTGTCAATTCCTCCTCCTTTTCTGTCATCTTCTTCGATGTTCTTCACGGCTGAGTGTGTGAACATGCTAGAGGCAGCGACTGTCATGACAAACCGTGGCTAAAGCTTCATAATCCTCTAATTCAGAGGCAATGACAGGAGCTTGGATCTTCACAAGGGAGTTTTGATTACTTTAATTTCCTTCCTAATAGTTGTTTAACAATTCATAAGTCTTAGCATAATTTTTATGATTATTGGGAAATTTGTATTGTTTAATCTGATTTTATTTGGAGATTATTGTAGTCGTATTACTGTTTAGTATTTGACATTAGGTTGTTTATAGCTTTAATTTCAATTATAATATTATAGTTATTGATCGCTCCCTTAAGTGTACAGGCTCGATGTAGTAAAAATCCTAGAGTAATGTAGGGTCATACCCACAGGGAGTTTTCGTGTTTATTAATTGAAATAAATAACAATGAAAATAGATGAATTGATTGATGAGATATAATGAAATAATAAATTAAAAGCAAGAGAAAATCAAATATAAGAGAAAAATAAATCACTCAATGCGTTGGGATTCAAGATTTACCCTATGAGTTGTTAGTTCTATCCTTTGAGTAGACTCTTTAATTTATTATAGTGACAACTATTCCTAAAGTATCCTAATATTCTCCTAAATTATTAGTTCCTATTTAATTAGAGTTGAATTCGTTCTCACGACATCCAAACAACTAATTAAATCTTAAAGCTATAGTTGTAAGTCACCATAAATATCTAGAACTATCCTTAGCTTAAGTATTTATGTCTATTTCTCTAGATCTACGTTCTCTCTTCACCTCCTAGTCCATCAAGATCACCTATAATTTAGATTCAATGGTGGCCAGTCATAAAACCCACATGAAGAATAAGAGAAATAGATATAAAAATCAAAAGATATTCATAAAAGCCATAAAAAGAGTCAAAACAGAACTGATAAAAACTAGCTTCTCAATTGGACTACATCCTTACCCCAACTAGGGAATTTAGAAACTCACAATAAAATAAATCATAAATAAATTATTCTAAAATCCCCAAACATAACAAAACAAAGGAAGAAGAAAAGAGGAATAAACTGTCAAATGATCCAATAGAGGTCCTCTGTTCAGCTGATGTTACAGGATGAACAAAGATAGTAACTTCACGAATTCACTGTCGCAAACAATGCTCTGTTGTTGCCTCTGGAATTGCTCTCTGATTTTTGCTCTCTTCTCTCCGTTCGATTCTCACTGCTGCCAAGGCTGTGCTGCCTTCTCCCTTTGCGTCCTCCTATATATATAAATATATGAACCTTTGATTGCTTCACGCGTCTAATCCTCTTGATTCTTTCAATATAATATATTATATTGTATCATGATGATTTGTCTTGCTTCACGTAACTTCACTCAAAAACTTGATCCAATCTTTTAACTGCGGGGTCGACGTCTCTCATCCAAATCCCTTTCCTTATAATATATATGGATATATATATATATATATTATATTTGTTGCATATCTTTTGCTCCCTTTTCCTCTTATAATTCTTTTTATTTGCTATTTTGTATTTCTTGCAAAATAGCAAGATCTGAGTAGATTTTATAACAAGATCCGTTTTTATCCCATAATTAATAAAAAAGAAAAAAATCTATAAAAGATAATTAAATAGGTATAAGATCTCCATAAATTTAACCAAATACATCAAAATATACACCTATTTAATTATAAAATATAGACTTATCAGTTATGACATTTGTATTGACTTTGGAATTAATATATTGTGATTTTCTAAGATAGCTTGGAATCTAGGATCATATTGTTTCGTGCTAGCTTTAATTTTGTTGTTTTGGATTACAGAGTTATAATTAAGCATTGATTTTTAGCATCCCTAATTTCATTTTACTATTCTGGTTGCAGTTAGTAAGTTAGAATTTTGAAGAATATTTTGTGGCAATTCGAGATGGCTCGGTTGTCGGATTGAAAATTTAGTTATAATTCTTAATTCATTGTTTTAACTCCCATATCTGTTGAGGTGATAATTACCTGCGCTATTAAGTTGGAGGATTGATTACTATCATTATCTACTCATGTGTTTCATTTCAATTCATTTACCATCATTTGCTTTAAAATCATTTTCGTATTAAAAACATAAAAACAAGTCATTTTAATTTCAATTTAATTCATGACATTTAGTTAGTAATTCATCAAATAAAAAACCTTTTTGTAGTTTAGGTTACTTGCATTTATTTATTAAGATTTAAATTCATTTTTGACTCCTCAAAGAGAAACGACCTGGATTGTGCATTATATTATATTAATTTGGTTAATTTTGGAGTAACGCCAAGGCAACAAATTAGGGGCATTATTTCACGGCCAAAAGGCACTTTTGGCTGCAACATTTTTCCTCAACGACAACTTTCAACAGTGATAATAAAAGTCGTTTGCCACATGAGATGGAGAGGATATCCTTCATCAAGTTTGCCACGTGATTTTCGTCCAAAGGATCTTCTTCAATTCAATGTGAATGATAGTTATTTGGATTCAATGGAAATTAGTAAGGCAAGTGAAGCATCCCTAATATCATGTGTATTGATTTGGTTTAATTAGACTTTATATATATGGTTTTGGTTATTGCAGATAACGCAAAATGTGAATGTGAGTGTTTTGAACTCTGAAGGGTGCAAGAATATGAGGCGCATACCTAATTTATCAGGCCTCTCAAGTTTAAAGGAGTTGTGGCTTCGTAACAGCAAAAATCTGATTGAAATTGCTAATTCGGTTGGGCAATTAGCAAAACTTGAAACCTTGAATGTACGTAACTGTGCCCGGCTTATGACTTTTCCAAGCAAACTGAATACACCCTTTCTTTGTGATTTGGATCTTCAGCATTGCTCAAGCCTGAATTACTTTCCAGAAATAGTAACTCGAGAAATGAAAATATCAGAGTTGAATTTGGTTGGAACTTGTAACACCCATTCTCTAAACTATTCAAAACACCATATAAAAACTAGTTTGATCTTAAGGTCTCAATAATAAAGTTAATACTTAAAGATTCAGCCTTTTAACCACTACATCAGATAAACATGAGCAATAAAACCCATAATATAATTCGAGTATACATATCCAAGTCTATACATTATTCACTCTTGGAACTCTTCTTTGACTGCTTGTTTCACTTCATCCCATACACCATGCATATCTGCACACCCAGAAGAACAAAGATGAACTTGTTCAAATGTTCAATCTTTAGTTATGATTTCAGCACATGGATCAATTAGATTTATTGTATTTTAGCCATAAAAAATTGATGAGAGGACGAGTTAATATCTAAAAACAATAGCGTACGTGAGTGAATATCAAGATAACAGTGAAGGAATATTATTATTGGGGTGGTAAGTGAAAGCTTGTTCTGATTGTAAGAAACTTCAGGGTATACTCATATTTTTTTCAAAATTTAAAATATGGGATCTCCCTTAGAACAATTTAAAGACGAAAAATTAGAAACCAAATTGAAGTACGTAGAAGAAAACCAATTTAGATCTTACCATCGAATCCATTTTGCTTCTTTTCAACTTGAAGGTGGGTCCCGAGGTTGAAAATGTATGCCATGTAGGATTAAGCAGATCTGAAATGGAGAATTTTGATTCGCCAGAGTTTAAGTGACGTGGTACTCTGGGAGTAAATAAATTAAATTTGGGATGTAGGCATTGACGATTCAAGCCATTTAAGTAATCATCAATGACTACACCTTGAAGCTTCTTCTTTCAAGCTATAGGAAACTTCCAATGATAGGGAATCTGATTTTGGCTAGGTTTTCTCTTGAAAGGGCCAGATCCGTATAACAATAACAAATGCGCTGATGAATCAAATAGCAAATCATATTTTAAGTTCACTCCATCTCACATGGTTTGAAGATCATACTTGCTTGTGGGTGGAATTGGGAATTATTCCATATCAAAATTGAGTTTTTCTTTCTCACTTTTTAACATTTTTGTTTTGGATTACTTTAGTAGCATCTGGCTTTTTGCAGGGGTAAATATGAAAGGCTAGCACACAACTTCCAAATTCTACAAGTCACAAACTTGAAAGTTGAAACGAAGAGTCAGACACAAAAAATGGAACTTCACCCTGCACCCCAATTTATAATTAAGCACCGTCAAAATTGGAATATGAAAGAAATAGTGTTTTGGTCTGGTCATTCCAAATAATTATCCTTTACCGTTAAGAGACTTCAAAGTCAAACCAAGAACCTGACAAGTAACAATTTAAAAGTTCGAAGCTAAACAATGGGTAGTTGGAAAGAGGAAAAAATGTTACCTTTGATGAGGCTCGCTTAAGAACAGGCTCTGTTCTATGTTTGAACTTTTGGTTTAAATCACTAGGCGATGCAATGCATAGAGATGCATATAATGTATGGATAATCAGGATGAAATATTAAAAAAATTGGTATTCAGCTGCAATCAGTTTTACAAATCTCTACTGGGAAAAAGCTCGATCACATTTTTAACACACAACAAGGTAACTACCTCATTGTTTAAACTATGATTACCTCATAAATCATTATTTTACCTATGATCACTTGTAAATTTTCCATGTTCACATCTTATATCATAGTCAAAATTGACAGTTGTACATTTTCATATACATAGTTGTTATTTAAGTATTATTTGTTGTTTAAAAGCTAGTTTTTTTTTTGGTAGGTATGTGTATAATTTTATTGAAGATAATTCTGTTCGAGACACTGTCGCATACTAAATATAAGAGAATAGTTACACCATACAAGGGTACTATTGACATAACAATAAACTCCTACTTATACCATACGTCTCATTAAGAGAATATTATTAGCACACCAGCCCAATAAGGCCCAGCCCAGTCAAGAGAATCTTGAACAAACCATCAACCGGTTAAGGCCAATTCAAATTCAAATTACAATGCAGTTATTGAAACCCAAAATAGTTGCAGACGCTTCTGTTTAATCATTGAATATATAAACAGTTGGTTTTCTCTGTTTCCAACCAAACATGAAGCTTGCTTTGTCATAAAATTAAGTGGATGAAAATGCAATCTCAAATACAGATATCTGGGTATATACATTTTAATTTTAATTAAGGTTAATATATATTTTCAAAATAAAGAAAAAATTTCTATAATTTTGATATAAAAGATAGGAGAGTCATTAGTGTATTTTACTCTTATATTACGACGACGACAGTAAGTGGAACTCCTTTTCCTCTTGTTTGACCCCACCATGGGACAAATGGAAAAATAGCGCAATTTTTTTTTTCAGCATGTGCAAATTAAATTTGAAAGAACTATGGAAAGCTGCGTTTAAGAATATGTTCAAGTGCCTCCCTTGGGAGCTAGGATTGTTTTTTGTTGTAAGAAACTCAGAAAATCAAAGTTTAATGCAGAGATTCTGCAGATCCATATGTGTTTGGAGTTAAGAGGAGGGTGTTGGAGGTTCTTGATGTGAAGGAAATGCCATACTTTAAACTGACAGGCTTTTCCCGATATGATGGTTTTTTTTCTTTTCGTTTCTTTTTTACTTCCTTTTGTTGTTGATGATTCAACTTGAAGTTTGAAAAAATAAAATGACACAAAAATAAGACTTGAATTATGAAAACGTCAAAAAGTCATCCGCATAAAGAAAATTTCAGTTTACATAAATAATCAAATGCGGATTTTAAAATTTACTCAAATAACCATGTCGCTTTTTTTTTCTCTTTTTTTTTTTTTAGAAAAACTTTCAAGTCATCCTCATTGTCGGTTGGCCACCGCCCTCAGAATTCAGGTGGGTCGCCACTTGCCGAAAAGTTTTGCTTGTCAGACTGACATAAGTATTTTAAACAAAAAATAATATCCAGAAATAATTAAAATGCCGATGGCTTCACTATGAAGGATTTTTCTTTTAAAGGGGAATGCTTCTAAGCGCTGAGAAACTTCCAATGATACTTTTGGTACATTTTACGCGGTTCAAAATTATGTATCATCATCTTATCTGTGGCACGCGTTTTCAGAAAAGTCTAAAACTTTAGACAAACGCCGAGAAAGATTTTTAATGCTACCTCCTGTTCTTAATACAAGAGCTAGTTAACTAATTTGAGTAGATTAAGAAAACTAGTTAAGTTAGTTATTTGTAATAAATAGATGTTGTTTTTTCTAAAATATCCTTGTTAATCAAATGTATTGGCTAGAGCTACCATTATTATGAGGACTCCCTTGGGAAAAAAATAGATAAATATGAGAGATAAAGTAGATTGGGGTGTTATATTTAGGACCAAAATAAAAATCAAATGAGCTTTTATACTACCTCTGATCCTTAATATAAGAGTTAGTTAATTAATTTGAATAGATTAACGAAATTGGTTAAGTTACTTATTTGTAATAAATTTGTATTGTCTTTCCTAAAATATCCTTGCTAATCAAATATATTGGTTAGTACTATCATTATTATAAGGACTACCTTGGAAAAAAAGAATAAATATAAGAGACAAAGTGGATTGCAATCTTATATTTAGGATCAAAATAAAAATCAAATGAGGTTTTATATTAAAGACCAGAGGTAATATTAAGAATCGGAGATAGTATAACATATTATCGATCAGTTATTGGTAAGACATAACTGTCCCCACCACAGAAATATGAAATCAATATTTTTATTTTGCTATTTTAATTAATATATAGTACCAAACATGATACGTTCTTACTAAGGTCAGATATTTTTCATCATTTCCGTTCACTTCAGCGAAACAAAGTGGGGAGAAGTCTCAGGCGCCTCTGAAGTGAAAGTCTTAGCGCCATTCTTCAGTCTGCCGTCGGTGGGTGTCCCAGCCTCAGTCCGTCACTGCCGTGGGTAAGAAGGTATTTCTTCTTAATATCTCAAGACAATTATAGATTGAGAACTACTAATGGCGCTTAATTGCATATGTTGGAAGAGAGTTGGAGACATAAATTAGGTTTTGGTTCTTGAGTTGGGTGAAAAGGTATTAGTATAAGCACTACAAAAAAATTGATTTTTAGCGGTGACCATAAAAGTTGCTGCTGAAAGTTTTCAGCGGTGACAATGTTGGCATAACAACCGTGGTTGGCAACATAAAAAGTCACCTCTAAAATACAATGTCGCTGCCCAAAGGCACTTTTGACTGCAACATTTTTCGTCATTGCTGAAAGCATCTTTCAACGATGACTTTCAACGATGACAATAAAAGTCGTCGCACAAAGTCAACTTTAAACAGCAACAAAAATGTTACCATTAAAAGTCATACTTTTAGTAGCGATTTTCTATGGTCTTTTAGTGTTGAATTTTTTGTTGTCACTGAAAATTGTTACCAAAAGTCTCTTTTTTAGTAGTGAAGGTAATGACTGAAATAAAAATAGTAGTGGTTATGTATGTGTTTGGATGATTGCTTGGCTCTTTAACTTAAATCTTATAAGGAAATGAAATTTGAAAATTATGGAAAAGTATTTGGTTGATTATTTAAGGACTATGTTTGTTTGTTCTTATCTTAGCTTTCGAAGTGCATATAAACTGTTTGATGAAATGCTGGAGAGAAGAACTTATCAAATAATATCGGTGGACGGTAAAATTGAGTAAATTATAGTGCTAGGAATTATTAGCTCGTGTGGGTTTTGGAAAAAATATGGATGTTGCTTGAAAAAGATATATAAATATATTTATGTGTATATATATTCTCTGTGTGTGCATTGTGGTGGTAAAGCTTAGGCCATTAAATGGAATCTTAAAGCATGTATATTAAACAAACGAAGAATGAGATATTTTCTTTTATAATTGATTTGATTGTGTATTTTCAAATTTACATAAAATTGTTAGAATGGTGCATGTGTTCATTGGGTTATTTGGAAAGTGTTGTTAAATGACTTGGTTAAGGAATTTTGGATGATCAAAAGAATTGCTAAAAGGGGTTGTGAGTAGAATGTATTGTGAATAGAAGGTACTTTATGAATTTATTGAAACATTCTAATGATAAACCACTTATTAGGTGGTTGGAAGAGAGTATAATTTCCAAATGTTTAAGTTTAAAGAACAAATAAGGCTTTGTGGAATGTTTTGAAATTTTTAAATTAAGTACTCTTCCAGTCCTTTATATAGGACCTAATTGTTAAGTTGATTTTGATTATAAATATAAGACTTATTTCTCATATTTATCAATTTTTTCTAAATTACCGATATGAATATTCTCTCAACTATAATCAAGTAGAAAAGGGAGAGAGGATATTAAGAAAGATGATTATGGTGTTTTAGGAAAAATGTGTCATATTTCTTATAATTAACTAACTTATCTAACTTCTTTAATCTAATCAAATTAGTTAAATAAGTCTTATATTAAGAACCGAATGAGTATTACGCAAATAAATGGTTGTTGGTAGCATAGGCAGCCACGTTGTCATTAAGGTTGTCGCTTTAAGGGTGTCTGTTTGAGAGGATTAAAAAGGAGGAAACTAAAGAAATATTTGGGTATGCAGCATGTAAGTAAATAACATCCCGCTATGAATTAAATGATTTTGTCAAATATCTCATTTTCCCAGGTTGTACTTTATTTATGAAATATAATTAATATAAATCAACCTGTTATTAAGTCCCACTTTTCCAGTTGTAATCTATGAATTAAAATGATATCACATCCGTCCCTAATATAAGAGTTAAATCATTAATTTACAGATATTAAGAAATTTACTTAGATTAATCATTTATTAAAAATGTGTATTGGTTTTCTTTTGTCTTTCTTAAAATACCATCTCTAATTATTTGTGTTGGAATTGTTACTCAATTGAAACCCTGTAACATATGTAATATAGAGCTATCAAAAAAATGTAATAAAATTGTAAATTTTACAGAACATTGAGATATTGAGATCTTATAAGGCCGAAATAAAGCTCCTAAATAGTTTTGATATTTTATTTCAACATTCGTTCATCATTTGTTTTTTTTTTCCCCTGTATATTGGGAGAGTTTAAACCTTTGATCTCTGCTGACCCCTACTTTTATCCTAGTCACTTGAAAGTTGGTCGTTATTTTTAATGTGTCTAATAGGAATCCAAGCCTCATGTTAATAAATTGACCGTTTATTAATCGTTTATTCCTTTTTGTTTGGCTTTTCCATTTATCGTTTGTCAATATGTCCATTATCATTATTTCTTTTTATATTACGGTTTTACAAGAAAATAAACGGCAAGTTTGTCTTCAGTATCTGATTCTGAAGGCGTCTGACGAAGCTAGCTGGGCGCATAAATAAAAAGTCAATATCTTTTTTTTTTGGGCTGTATTTTGATTTTTTTTAATTTTCTGGATTTCAAAAGCTCATGAAACAAAATAGCTTTTTAATTTTTAATTAGACAGAGACTTTTTTTCCTATTTAAATACTACATGCAGTATTATACGAGGAACAAAATAAATTTCAAATGCATGTAGATATATTAAGGGAGGCCATAGTTCTAGTCGTCGATCTTTTCATTTCCTGATTGAGACGTAGAAAAGCAAGCAACTTTCATCTTTCTTCTTGTTGGTTCCATTTACTCTGACATCTTCATTTCTATATTTCAATGCAAGCAATAATTATGACAGGGCGGGCAAAACTATCTTCGATACACTATCATTGGACTTACTCAATTTTAGAAGTGAAGATATTCGTTATGGCTTCACTGAAAATCTATTTAAAGCTCTCAATTAAAAGAGAGTTCACACCTTCTTTGATGACAAGGAAATAGGAATAGGGGATGAATTATGCCAAGGCTTCTCGAAGCAATCTAGGAATCTGGGTTGCCATTACTATATTTTCTAAGGCGCATGCTTCCTCAACATTTTGCCTGAATGAACTAGTCCAAATCCATCAATGTATTGAGAAAATGGTCGACTAGTTTGGCCAATTTTTTTATGATGTGGAGTCTTCTAAACTATGACATCAAAGAGGAAAATATAGACAAGCACTAGTTACCCATGAAAAAAACTCAAAGGTTGATGAAGAAAAGATGAAACGTTGGAAGCCGCACTACATGAAGTAGCTAATCTTAAGGGCTCATCACATGATCCAAGATTTTTTTTTTACCTAGCTAGTTTCTATGGTTAGAATAGAAGAAAATATTAAAATTATTATGAATGCAAGTGGAGAATAACTTGTATAGATTTAGTTAGAATTGACTGAAATTTCTATTTGGATTTCCAGAAAAGATTATGAGCATAAACTCATTAAAGAGATTGTGAACCACATTTTTAGGATAGTAAAAATGGTCCCCCACTAAGTTGCCGAATATCCAGTTGGTTTAAATTCCCGTGTTCAAAAGACGAACTCTCTTTTACAACTTGAGTTAAATGATGAGGTCATCGTGATAGGAATTTATGGAACTAGGGGAATGGGTAAAACAACAATAGCATGTGCTGTGTATAATGCGATTGCTGAGAATTTTGATTATTTGTCCTTTCTTGATGATAATAAAGGAAAATATGGAAAACATGACCTAGAACACGAGCAAGCCAGAATGCTTTCAAAATTTTTAGGGGAGAAGGTACAAATTGAAGACATTAATGAAGGAGTTGAGCTCATAAAACGAATACTCAGAGATAAAAAAGTTCTTTTGATTCTTGATAATGTAGATGAACGAAAGCAATTAGAAATGTTGGCTGGGGCATGTGAATGGTTTGGTTGTGGGAACAGGATCATTATAACAACAAGGGATTTACAATTACTTAAGAGTCATGGGGTTGAAAGAATATATGAGATGGAGGGATTAAATCATGAAGAATCTGTTGAGTTATTAGGCTGAAAGGCTCTTAGAAACATGCAAGTTGATGATCCAAGATATGCGAAAGTTGTGAATCAGGTGATAAGTTATGCCAATGGTCTTCCCTTAGCCCTTGAATTAATAGGCTCTGATTTGTACGGTAAGGGTGAAAGGAAGTGGAAACCTATGTTAGATGGATGTAGAAGAGTGGCCCATGATAAGATTCAACAAATATTAAAAGTAAGCTATGATGGCTTAAAACAACTTGAAAAAGAAATTTTTCTTGATATTGCTTGCTTCTATAAAGGGGGAGAATTGGAATACGTCAAAAAGATGGTGGAAAGCGTTTTCTTCGTGCTTTGGAGGAAAATGAAGTGCAACGCTAAGTAATGTCATTATCTACTTTTTTTTTTCCTTATTTTTCTCATAGTGTTTTTTCATAATTTCCTGGTGGTATTACAATTGATGAGATTTATATTTCACTACCACAAAATGTACTATTTACCTCTTCCATTCATGTCTATTCTTAAAAATGAAAGAGAATAACCTCCTCTTCTCCTCTGTCTCTGTTATGCAAAAACAGAGGAAGAAAAAAACTTCTCATCTGTTTGAAAGAAACAAATGAGAAGATTCTTGTCTGTTTCTTTGAAACAAACGAGAATGGGCAACAACTTCTCATCTGTTTGGGAAAAATAGACGAGAAGCTCCTCGTCTATTTAAAAAATGTCATATAACCATTTGCATTGTACCATTTCCTTTTGATTTGCAGTGCCTTAAGCAACAAGGGGCAATAGAGTGTGGATACTATATTATCCATTTTATGTTTAACATTATTGAGAGTGGATGTACTAAAAAATTTGAAAAGGTGAGTAAAAATAATTTTAGTTTTGTAATAGTTATTGAATTTTTAAATTGAATTGTTGCTTCACACATTTAAATTTGTTCATTTGTCAATTTGCAGATTTTTGATAATGACTGCTCATACACCGTTGATGATATTGATTTTATCCGAGACATTTTGGCACAACAAGTGCTTCAAGAATGATGGTCTAGGGAGTGATAAAGTTTATGTTTAGAGATAACTTAGTATGATTAGGTTGAAAATATTGGCTAATTTAAATGTTAGACAATTTGAACTTGTTGAAAAGTGGCTGTTATTATTGTATTATAGGTTAGTTACTGTATGGCAAGTACCTATTTAGGAAGTGAATTTTTATTTTTTTTAAAAAAAGAGCACATTCACATGTATTCTAAGGAGACAATAGTAAATGTGGAAGCCTTTTACTTCTATTATGGAAAAACAAAAGTAAAAAGTCACCCCTATTTACTTCTGTTTTGGAAAAACAAAAGTAAAAAAGCACTTATTTACTTCTGTTTTGCTACAAAACGTTATTCATGTCTATTTTCATAAAAACACTAGTAAATAAATATGATAGGCAAAGTGTTGTCTTTCCTCAAATACCCTTGTTAATCATGTGTATTAGTTAAAATTATCATTTGATTGAATCTTTAATATATACAACTACTACACGGACTACTTTTAAAAAAATGAATAAATATGATAGACAAAGTGGATTATGGTATTATATTTAGACCAAATTGATAGTTAAACTAACTCGTATATTAAGGACCAGAAGTAGTACATCAATTATTGCCACATGCTAAGTTTGTTTAGATTTTAGTTGCTGTAATTCCATGTGGTATGGTCATATCAAGAGGAAGCAAGCTTCCCCTCTCCTTATCTTCTAATATATTTCAAATTCGTGTATCTCTGTGCCACTGTCTATTTTGGTACTCTTCTCATTTTGCTTTCTACTTTGGCATTTTAGAAAATACTTACATACTTAAACTTTTTCGCTTGAGATTATTGTGCAACTAAATCAAGACATGTGAATGTTTTATATAGTATTTATTCTAAAACAAACTCTAATTATTTAATATCATTAATATTTTAAAATCACTCAAGTTTTCTGCTTTTATTTCTTGTTGTTTTGGGTCTTCATGTCATTAGGTTTATTGTCTTTTGCCTCCTAACATTTGATTTTCTTTTTGTTAATCTATTTGTTGGATCTGTTCCAAGCTTCAATTCAGTCTGTGTTACAGTGGGATTTTTTTTTTATCGTCATCTTATGTTATTAATAGCTTTTTTTTTTAACAGAAGAAAATATAAATTTCTTTTTTATTCACTGACAATGAGTCAGATCCACTTTCCTCTCTCCCATTCTTCATGTCTTTCCAACTTATTGTCGATCTGCTATCGTTTGTCTATTCCCAGAAGGTTTAGTTCAGATAATTCCTATTAAAAATCATGGTTTTACATAGGAAAATTTTGATACGATTCATTTAATACTTGTTTTGGTCTGAGTTAGACGTCAATATATAAAATTAAAATCTTATAGGCATTTTTTTTAATATCATATTGTGTTGAGTGCTTGAGTTTTGTCAACTTAGTCCTGAACTTTTGTCAAAGTAAGCAATGATATTAAATAAACTGGCGTTAATGGAGCAGGATAATTAAGTTGGTTTCACTCTTAGTAACCCATGACATGTAATATAAATAATCAGCCAACCTGAGTAAAGTCATTTAACCAAAATAGGAAAATACAAAGCAGTCATTTTGATTAACAAGTGTAAAGGAAAACAAATTTGCAATTACCTGCATTTCCGATCTATCCCTTGCTAATATAAACAAACAACCTAAAGCCTTACAACACTTCCATCTATGCACAAATATCTTAAAATAGAAGCAATCTTTACTTGCCATCTAGATACAAAATATCTGAAAATAGAAACAATCCAAGGAAGAGATGCTTGAGAGCTGCCATAAAAAAAGAGGATGGCTTGCTAGAAAAGGTGCTTGAACTTCTCTTGCCATTTGACCTCACTTGAACCACCACCGTTGATTGGCTTTCCTATATGTGAAATGCTTCTACCATGCTATACATTGTTGACTCTTGGAACTCTTCTCTGACTGCTTGTTTCACTTGATCCTGTACACCATGCATAGCTGCACACCCAGAAGAACAAAGATGAACTTGTTCAAATGTTCAATCTTTAGTTATGATTTCAGCACTTGGATCAATTAGATTTATTGTATTTTAGCCATAAAAAATTGATGAGAGGACGAGTTAATATCTAAAAAAATAGTGTACATCAGTGGATATGTTATTTTCAGCACTTAAATTGTGCTTTTGAGATTTAGCAAAATAATTTTGATAACAAATGCCTGTCTCTTCTAAGTATAATCTCTTCTGGCTTCTATCATTGATTGTGTCAAGATAACAATGAAGGAATATTATTATTGGGGTGGTAAGTGAAAGCTTGTTCTGATTGTAAGAAACTTCAAGGCATACTTGTATTTTTTTCAAAATTGAAAAACTGGTATCTCCCTCAGAAAAATTCAAAGAACAAAAATTAGAAACCAAATTGAAGTAGGTAGAAGAAAACCAATTTAGATTTTACCATTGAGCCCATTTTGCTTCTTTTCAACTTGAAGGTGGGTCTCGAGGTTGAAAATGGATGCAGGGGGCCCTTGAAGGTGTGAAGTCAAAACTTGCGGACTAACATGATGCCGCACTGTCGGTCGTCGATGGACAGGCCAGAGAATATGTTGATGAGGACTACTCAGTTTCCATCGGTGAAGAGTAGGGTTTTGCAAATCAGTTCTACCTTGCATTTTCTGCCCATCAAACGTGGTCTAAGTTGGGGAGAGAATGTATACCATGTAGGATTAAGCGGATTTGAAATGGAGAATTTTGATTCGCCAGAGTTTAAATGACATGGTACTCTTGGAGTACCTAAGAATTTCGCTAAAATAAATTAAATTTGGGATGTAGGTATTGAAAATTCAAGCCATTTAAGTAACTATCAATGACTACACCTTGAAGCTTCTTCTTTCAAGCTCTAAGAAACTTCCGATGATAGGGAATCTGACTTTGGCTGGGTTTTCCCTTGAAAGGGCCAGATCCGTATAATAATAACAAATGCGCCAATGAATCAAATAGCAAATCATATTTTAAGTTCACTACATCTCACGTGGTTTGAAGATCATGCTTGTGGTGGGAATTGGGAACTATTCCATATCAAAATTGAGTTTCTCTTTCTCTGTTTTTAACATTTTCGTTTTGGATTACTTTAGTAGCATCTGGCTGTTTGCAGGGGTAATATGAAAGGCTAGCACACAACTTCCTAATTCTTCAAGTCACAAACTTGAAAGTTGAAACGAAGAGTCAGACACAAAAAATGGAACTTTACCCCGCACCTCAATTTATATTTAAGCACCGTCAAAATTGGAATATGAAAGAAATAATGTTAGATATGATTAGTTTTGATAATGTCAAATATTAGAACCAAAAGTTTACAGCAAATGTTTATGTCATGCTTTGACTAACTATTATATTTAATGAGAATATCTTTTATAGATTAGTCAAGTAGAGAAATGAGGCATCACTGTGTTGAATGATCATGAAGAAGGAGAAGAAACGAGAGAGCTCAACTACGGAGCATAACATGTTGGACGCATACATGTTGGGTCACATGAGCCAGACCATTATCGTTGAAACTAATTATATTGGTCTAATATACTAATTTTGATAGATATATCATGTAGGCAAAATTAATTACTCATTGGTTACCTTGATTTGATATTCATATCATTGTTTCCTTCCTATCATGAATTCAATAGTCAATTTATCAATATTACTACCTACTAATCAGCTAAATAATCGATTGTTAATTATTAACATCTATTTTTTATATCGCAAAATTATCCATCATTCCAATACCATTAAAAATTGATTATTAGAATTCAAATGTTCATATATTCCAAAAATAAAAGGTCATTTCAAATTTAAGTTTATTAATTTTAGGAAAAATTAATCATTTAGTCCTTCAACTTTTAACTCACTTGTAACTCAGTCCCTCAATTATAACTCGACGCAATTTAGTCTTTGAGCTTTTGACTCGATTATGACTTAGTCCCTCATCTTTTCACTTTTTTATATTATTATTATCCTTTTCATCTCTAACTCAGTGCTACATGGCAAGAGACCCTTCAAACTTTTTCCCAACTCAGTGCCACCTAGATTTTTTTTGGATAAAGTTTAAATTTAAAAAAAAGGGGGGGTGGCTGGAGATGATCGCCCACTCACTCCAAATCTCAAAGTGATGTCTCGCCCTCCTCTTCCATTCCAGCGAAGGATCAACATTGTTGGGTCCCGGCAATTTTTAAGAAGGGAGCTGTGTTGTGGTTATCAATTATGGATTTCGCTCTTAGAGTGGTCAAGACAGCCATTAAAAAAATTAAATCATTTATTTGGATTAGGACTCAATCCTACGATACCGATGGCGTCGTCACTTGAATTGCCAGCATGAACTATATATTAGCAATTAAAGAAACTCTGTGTACATTATTTGTTATCTGAAGATCGAAGAAAATGGGAAGAAATTGGGAAAATGGCTGTCTTGTTATCTAGAGACCACAAAGACCCCGGCAAGGTATGGGCTTTGATGCGAAGGATGGTGGTGGAGTCTCTACGATTTTCATCCTCTCCAGCCCTTTCTTTTTTCTTTAATTTAAACTTTACCAAAAAGAAACCTGGGCGGCACTGAGTTGGAAAAATTTTGAAGGGTTTCTTGCCATGTAGGATTGAGTTAGAGATGAAAAGGATGATCACATAAAAAAGTGAAGGGATGAGGGACTTAGTAATAATCGAGTCAAAGTTTAAAGACTAAGTTATACCGAGTCATAATTGAAGGACTAAGCTATAAGTGAATTAAAAGTTGAAGGACTGAAAAATTAATTTTTTCTTAATTTTATTAACATTGAATATTGAATATTGAATATTAGTTAAAAAATAGTTATCAGGATACTTGATTATTGTGATTCATATATTCCAAAAATAAAAAGTCATTTCTATTTTATGTTTATTAATTTTCTGAAAACATATATCGCAATTATTTAAACACTAAATATTGACTCAACTTTTACATTTATGTGTAACGAGTGTAGACTTGGGCTTAGGAAATGGAGGCCCGACTCAAGAA